TATGGGGGTTACTTAAATAATGCTCATTATACAGAACAATATATGTGTAATCTATGATTTATATTGCATAGCCTTCTATCTTGTACACACAGTAAGATTCTGAGGCATGAATTGTGTAGAGCTCAAATCTACCTTTGGCTCCTGCTAGGTGAATAACTGCCATTCATGGGATCCTAGGGAACATCATCTCTGTTCCCTCCTTGGCTGTGTGTGGAGAAGCAGGACCCTCTCCAGGGCTCTGCTGTGTCCACTCATTAGAGAGAAAGTATAGCACAGCAGAGTTCAGGGACCTTGGTTTTGATCCTAGTACCATCACTTTCAACTCCTAGAGGCTCAGACATGTTACTTGAACTCTGTGGCCCTCAGTGTTCTCAGCTAAAAAATGGCGACAATTATAGTACCCACCTCTGAATGTTGTTGTGAAGACTACATGAGTTAATAATACACATAAAGTGCTTAAAACTGCACATGGCAGCAGTAAGTGTACCATAGAAGTTACCATAATTAACATGGCTGTTGGGCCCTGGCAGACATTGTCCTTGTGATTGGGACTCCTGACCTCAGTCAGCTTCAGGAGGCCCTGAAGACCTCCTCCTCTGCTCCAACACTTGTCTCACACTCCTTGGAGCAACCCACCTGCCACTCTGCTCAAGGATTCAGTGAGCCCATCTCATTGCTGATCACAGCAGCCTCATTGCCGTAGCCTGTAGTGCTGTCCTCAGTGTGTGCCTCAAAACCTACCCAATAGCAGTTGTTTTATGGTATTTGGCTGGTGACCCTTTGGGGTGACCAGAAGCATCAGGCCTTGCCCTGGTTAGTTTGGTCCTCATGGTGATGGGGCATGATGGTACTGGCATATAGAAGTTTTGTGTGATCTGTTGGCTGCCAGTTTTCTGCAGTTATCACTGATTGCCAACCCTAGCCAGAAACAGTCCACTAGTTTTACTGACTTCTAGGTAAAGGAATGTTAGTTCCTATATTAGAATTGCCTTGAAAAATCCAATTAGTGTGAAAGGATAATTTTTTGTGAAAAATATCAAGCCAGTAGAATTTGAAGTGTGTGTTTAGTAGGGGCAGATAGCATAGAAAACGATCTTTGGTGCTGTCTTTCCAGTGTCGTGGATGGCAGAAAGCTTTCTGGTCTTCCTGAATGCCTGTTTATTATTTTCCGTATTAGCGCATTGTGAGTCTCACAGTACCACCTAGTGGTTTTCTCAGGCACAACTACAGAACTTTTGTTATACATTTGACATTATAAATGCAGTCTGTTTGCAGGGGAGTACTTGTTTGAATCAAATCAACAGTTACTTACTGAGCATCTCATAGGTGCAGGTGTTACAGTTAATCTTTTGAGGGAGATAAAAATGTATAATATGTCCTTTATTCATGAACAACTTGAATTCCCAACGTTATGCCAACTGACTGAAGTTTGAAATATACTTCCACATATAATCAGTGTTATGCATATAGTTATTTAAAACCTCCAAATTACCTGAATTATTGTACCATAGAGCCCCTGGGGTGGGGGAAAATATTTCTATGGGAAAATAAGCTCAAAATTCCAACATGAGAGGCCACATTCGCTTCTCCCCTTGCTGGCACATCTGTTGAGCAGTTGGAGGGCGGATAGCCTGACATCCAGGGGTGTGGGTGCTTGAAGAGATGGGAGTGACTCTGTGAGTTGGGGAGAGAATCCTGGGGGCAGATGCAGAGCTGAGACTGTTGTGGCTGATTATAGTGATAAGAAGGGTAAGAAAACAGGAAGAAGGCTTGAGAGAGGGGAGGGCAGCAGGCAGAATGCTCCTTTGTCCTCTAGCGTCCACCCTCCCAGGGCATGCTGCTGCAGAGGACTGGCCCTGGGGTGTGAGAAGGGGATGTGAAGATCAAGGATGGAGGCCTCTTGAATCTCTCCTCTCTCCTCTTTTGAGAGCAATACTGGGACTGGCAGCCAGATGGGAGGAAAGGGATTGCCTCCCCACCTTCCTATGTCCAAGGGTTTATTAATTCAATTACTGAGAAGTCAGTAATTGAAAAATGAGAAGAATTGAGTAACTGTTAAGTTTGTGAAAAAGAGAAGCCCTAAAGAGCAGAGATCCCTATGAAGGGTCAAGGGAAGGTTTCTTTTAAATGAGAGGCAATTGAGCAAATCTGCATGCTGAAGGAAAGCGGCATGGAAGTAAGAAAAGTTGAAAGGAATAGTTGATGGGCCCCTGGCGGCTGAGGAGGGCAGGTCCTCTGAGTGCATAAAGGTGGAAAGGTGGTGCCTGTTTTAATCAGCCGGTGGGCAGGGCTGCAGGACCTGGTAAGATTCTGTGCTATTCAGACCTTGTTTTCTCTGAGAAATAGAAAGCCACTCACCTGGTAAGAGAGCAGCAGGGGAGAGGGTGAGGTTGGGGTGTTTTAGGAAAGAAATACAGGCTGAAAAGAACCTAAACAAGTGGTCATACCTTCCAACCAATAATAACAGTTTTAAAATTGATCCTAAGAAAATAATTAGAAAGGCAATAAAAATTTATAAACTAGATATTTGTTTGTAGAATGATCTACAATAACTGGAAACAAGCGAGAAAAAAATTAAAATGCTTACCAACAAGAGAATAATTTAAAAGTATGCTATAGAATTCAATTAATATAAAATGATGTTTTAAACCCATTACTAATGTCAGATACTTGTGACATAATGGTAAGTATTAAATACTTGCATAAAATACTTATGATATAACAGTAAGTATTAAAATCGGAATTTAGAAGTTTATATAAGGGATATATAGAGTGACTAGAAGAAAATAAAGCAAAATATTAATAGAGATTTTTCTTCTTAAGAGGTAGTATTATGGACCATTGTTATTTTCTTCTGTTTTAAAAACTTTTTTGGCATTAAAAAAACAATGGATATATTTACTTTAAATATAGGAATAATAACTTTAAAGTCTTAAAATTTTAACCAAGATAATTATTAAAAGCAAGCAATTGTATGTTTCCTAATGCTAATATTTTAAGTGGGCATATTTAATGTCGAAATTTCACTTTGTCTTTTCTAGGTCATCCAGAAATTTATCCTTTAGTGTTAACTACCAAGACCCAGGAAATATTTAACTGCCGAATAGATGAAGATGTCACAGATGAACAACCTTATAAGCTTATCAATAAAGAAGATATTTTTGAGGACCTGCGCAACAGAGCTGCAGTATCTGATTTCCACCCAGTCAAAAAAATTGTCCAGGTAAGCACAATATCCCTCTTTATTTTCAGTCCTACCTCAAGAAGTTCCTGTTATATAACAACAAAGTTGGACAGGTTGTTGGTTCAAATCTGGCCCTTTTGCTTTGGGCCAGTGCTAGCTTGCCCATCCCTTTTGGGAATCCTGTTTGACAATCATCTGTGAAAAGCAGAGTTCCATCAATGACTTGTTATCTAAACGCAGAAAAGTTCTTCCTTGCCCAGTTTTTGTTTTGTTTTTTTTGAGACAGGGTTTCACTTTTGTTGCCCAGGCTGGAGTACAGTGACACAATCATGGCTCACTGCATCCTCTACCTCCCAGGTTCAAGTGATCCTCCCATCTCAGCCTCCTGAGTAACTGGGACCACAGGTGCAGGCCACCATGCCCAACTAATTTTTGCTTTTGTAGAGACAGGGTTTTACCATGTTGCCCAGGCTGAGCTCAAACAATCCACTAGCCTTGGTCTTCTAAAGTGCTGGGATTGCAGGCATGAGCCACCATGCTCTGCCCTTGCCCAGTTTTAACTAGAATATGAATCTATCCTTATTTTCTGCTTTAATTGTTTAATTCATAATTTTGGTTCTGATTTATCTCTAAGCATGCTACAGAGCACAATACCAGACAAAAACTGCTTCATTTTTCCTGTTAGAAGTAAAAATGCATGTAAATTTCCCTGGATGCATTATGTTTTTAAGAGCTTTTTAAAGTTAATAAAATAGTTTTGCAATTTGGTGTTATCAGCCATAAATTAGCACAATGGTTATCTTCTATGATTGGTTGTTTACAGACATAGGAATTTTGTATTAGTGTCAAAATAAACTGAATGACAGTTGAACATTAACTTCCTCTCTTAATTATATTCTTGTAGGAATATCCTGGAAATGAGCTTCTGCTTGTTTATGACAAAGACTTCAAATATGGACTTAACTTTTATCTTATTGGAACTGAAGAGGGCAAAGAAAACTATTTAAATGTGAGCAAACCCCAAACCCTTGTAATTTGTTTGTTTTTGTTGTGGTTGTTGTGGTTGTTTTTGAGATAGGCTCTTGCTCTGTCACCCAGGCTGGAGTGCAGTGGCACAATCATGGTCACTGCAATGTCTACCTCCCAGGCCCAAGTGATCCTCCCGCCTCAGCCCAACAAGTAGCTGGGACTACAGGGGCGCACCACCATATCCGGCTAATTTTGTTTATTTTTTGTGGAGATGAGGTTTCACTGTGTTGCCCAGGCTGGGCAATTTGTTGATTAGCAGAAGGAAGCTGTACCTCTGGGGGATCCCTATACATAGTGATGATTATTCTTGTTCAGCTCTGATTCCTTGGGACCCAGATCAGGTTCTGGCCCCTAGAATAAGTAAGCAGTAAATAGGGGATGAACTAAATCAAGTATCTCAGGGTAGCAGATTTGCCCTTCATTGACCTAGTGAGAGAACAAACAGTGAATCTGGAGTACTGCTTTTCTAGTTCTCTTCTTGCCACCTCCAAGATTTTGAGTAAGTTACTGAGCCTCTCATGGGTAAAATGGTGACACCTATATTGCACATTTCCATGGCTTTCATGAGGATTCATATAGGTAAAGCCCTTTGTTGAAGGTGGGCAAGAAAGGTAACAGATGTATGAGACTTTCCTTCTGATCTTCCATCCCTGTTTGGTCAAATTGAAGGAGCCAGTTTGGGAGGTTTGGTTAAATTGTTTGAGGATAACAGAGGTTTGTGTGGCTGTCCAATAAGTAATAAGAATAAAGGGAAACCATAGAATTTAAAAATATCTAGGCTGGGCACAGTGACTCATGCCTGTAATCCCAGTACTTTGGGAGACTTGAGGCAGGGTCATTTGAGGCCAGGAGTTCCAGACCAGCCTGGGCAACAGAACAATACCCTGCCACTGCAAAAAATAAAAACATTAGCCAGGCATGGTAGCACGTGCCTGTAGTCCCAGCTACTTGGGACGCTGAGATGGGTAGATCACTTGGGCCAGAAAGATGGAGGTTGCAGTGAGCCATGATCATGCTACTGCACTCCAGCCTGGGTAACAGAGTGAGACCCTGTCTCAAAAAGAAAATAAAATAATAAAAGCTAACAGTTTGTAATTTAAAATAATCTTTCATTTAGCCTTAACATTTTCAATTTTATTTTTATGATTGCTTTTCTGTTTTTAACTTTTTATTGTAATGAAATATTTAAAATGTATAGAAAAAAGTAGAGTAGCATAACAAATATCTATACTTTATTATCCAGATTTTTAAAATATTAATTTTTATTATGTAAGATCTTTTTTTTGAGATGGAGTTTCGCTTGTGTTGCCCAGGCTGGAGTTCAGTGGTGTGATCTCGGCTCACCGCAACCTCTGGCTCCTGGGTTCAAGTGATTCTCCTGCCTCAGCCTCCTGAGTAGCTGGGATCACAGGCATGCATCACCACGCCTGGCTAATTTTGTATTTTTAGTAGAGGCAGGGTTTCTCCATGTTCGTCAGGTTGGTCTTCAACTCCCAACCTCAGGTGATCCACCCGCCTCGGCCTCCCAAAGTGCTGGGATTACGGGCATAAGCCACCACACCCAGCCACTTTAAAACTTTTTGCAAAAAAAGAAATAACATTACAGGCCAGGAGCGGTGCCTCACGCCTGTAATCCCAGCACTTTGGGAGGCCGAGGCGGGTGGATCACGAGGTCAAGAGATCGAGACCATCCTGGTCAACATGGTGAAACCCCGTCTCTACTAAAACTACAAAA